TTGCTTTTTTACCATCATTCTCAAAAGTATTTTATTTTTGTCTCCTGATTATCAGTAACCCGATTTTTTTTTTAGCTTTGACCAAAGACTCAGATTTTTGGTTAAACACACCTCAAATTAGAAAAAAAAAAGTGCTTTTGAAAAAAAAAAAATACTTTTTTTGTTTTGAGAAGCTTGGCTAAACCAGGCTATTAAGCAGGTGAGTCTTGACTATTGAGTCACGTGCTTTGACAAAGTCTTAGGAGAGAATTTGGATAAAAAGAAAAAGAAACTTGTTATTGCAGGGGTAAAGTGTCGATTGTAGTATATAGTCGCTGCAGTGGGTAATATTTTGTTTGTTTGTACCAAATTAAATAATTTTAATTTTAAATAAAAGTAAAATCAAGTTAATTAATCATGATTACGTGTAAGAGTTGAAATAAAGAACACATATGCGGTATAGCTATTGATCGGATTCATAATTTAGACATTATAAATTTTGAAATAGATATAATTATTTTTATCAATACTTATATACAGAATTTGATCCTGAACATTATGTTTTGCCGAACCGAAGACGTGATTAGATATCGCGTAAACCCTTGATATATGAATAATTATATTTTATTTTATTTAATTTTTAAATTCCGTTCAATTTAGGAGGATCTATAGTGTTTCCACACTTTTCCTCTAGCGTGACTCAAATTCGGGAACTCAACGGTTGTGGATAGAGGTGCTTTACCTCACTTTTCGAATAATTAATTTCAAATGAAGTTAAAGAGGGGATTGGTTTAATTTACCCCTCCCTCGTCCACACCCAACCCAAACAACCAATCCTCCGTACAAGTGAAAGAGCGATCGAGTAAAACCTTCTCATTTGCTTGTATATATATGTGTGCACTTCTATGTAAAGTTCCTCACAGAAATTTAAGGAGTATTCATTCTTCCATCTATTTATTTATTCCAAGATATATTATCAGTAATTTACTCATTATAAAGGGAGGAATTGAATTCCTTAGGAGAAAGAATGGGAAAAGAGATAGTGAAAGCAGAATTAGGTGAGGAGACAAATTTCAACTGGCCATCAGATTCATCGTCAACGACATCATCCTCATCTGATAATGAGGAAACAAGGATGCCTTTGTTAGCACTGAACCATGTTTCCTATGTCTGCAAGTCTGTTCCTACAAGTGTCCAATTCTATGAGCAAGTTCTTGGTTTTGTTCTAATCCAGAGGCCCTCTTCCTTCGACTTTGAAGGAGCTTGGTATGTTAATTTTCCCATTCTCCAGCACATATTTTGTCTTTGGTTTTACATGCATTTGTGCTAAATCTAATAGTTGGAAATGATATCACAAAAGCATGTGTACAATTGTTTTGCATTATCAGTGCATATAAGTTAAATCTAATTTATAAACATCGATTCAGGTTGAGACAATTTGAACAACTATATATATAAATATGATATTTTGGGTGATTTTTGCAGGTTGTTCAACCACGGGATTGGAATACATTTACTAGGAAAAGAAGATGCAGAGTCAAAGAAGGGAAAGATAAACCCAAAAGATAACCACATTTCATTCCAATGTTCGGATATGGACCTCAGTATTCAAAGATTGGATGAAATGAAGATTGAGTATGTTACAGCAACTGTAAAAGAAGGTGGAGTCACTGTGGATCAACTCTTCTTCCACGACCCAGATGGAAACATGATTGAGATATGCAATTGTCAAAATATACCAATTCTTCCACTTTCCTCTTGTCCTCTCAAGAAGTTCAACAAATATCCAACTTTCAACCAAACCATGCCTAATTCTTTTCACGGTATGCATGTCTCTTCTTGTTTCGTTATCCTACTCCCGATATCTTAAAAAAGACTTTTATTAACTTATATATGATGTCAGTTTAAAATGATTTTTATATATACTGGTATGTCACCCAAAGATATTACTTGTAAATGTGTATAATAAGCTGAATTAGTCACTTGAGAAGTACAATAAATAATATGTTACAATATATTAGTACATTAAATCACGCTAATAGTATAATATTTTTACACTGACAATTATATAAGCTAAGTCCTTTAAACAAAGTTTGTCTTAAAATGAGGACAAGTTTTTTTCCCAAACGACCTATGAAGTTTGATTAAATCAATGGCAGTGGAAGGACGAGAATTAGACGTTAACCTTGTAGTTTTAGTAGAGCATTATTCTAATGTTGTGTGTTTGACAATGCAGGGAATGGAACCAGTAAGATGAATTGCTTAGGAGAAATGGAATATCTGATGTTGGAGAACTTAGCCATGAATATGATTGACATTTCATTTTGAATATTTATACACATCTTGTACGCGACGAGTCTTTATGTTTTTACCTAATTCAATGAAAGAAATACAGAAATTTCACTTCGCTAAAATCATGCAGGCTCATTAGACTGTTTGTAGTTAATTACTTCATTGCACACTAGAATAGAATAGAATAATTGATTATATGCTTAAACACTTTTATCAAAGCATTAACGTTAATCTAAGTCTACATATAGTTATTTTTGCGCCCATATATATAAATGAACGTCCGACTTCAAAGCATTGGGTTCATCCAATGATCAAGTTAGGCTATTTCTATGAGTATGAGTAAAACATTTGCTATTATCAGCTGTCGGTCTAACTCATTGATTGAAATGAAAACAGAATATTAATTAAGTAGACCAGTAATAAACTAGAGGCCTTATGAAGCTCTCATTTTTCTTTCAATTTAGTATATATATACCCTTAAAACGGATAGCAATTAAATTTGTACTAGATTTTAAGGATATGTGGATTGATTCAATACAAATAATCAAGAATATTAGATAAACGAGTTATAGGCAAAATGAACAATAGTTTTGCCTTCGATCAGACCCTTGGTTTGAAGCCAACTATGAACGAAGAACAAACAGTAAAATAAGAATTCTCCAATAGCTAAAGAGCAGAAAAATAAATTTGTATTTCCTTGATTCGCGTGTTACAATGTGTGTTATCAAAGAAAAAATCCCCTTTATATAGTAAGAGAGTTTCTTCCATAGTACATATCTTGAAATAGTAAAACCTTTCTCTTTAATTATCTACTGATCCGTAACCGGCATCGAGCGAGATTCGCGCCATGATATCAGATCGGTTGCGGATATCACAACCCTCTATCCGTCGTGTGCAACCATTCATTGTGTTTTCCGAAGTCTCAATACTCGTTTTGGGTCCGGAATGTGTTGCTTTATCACATCTAACGATGAGCACATCATTACCTTTCATGGGTCTCGGCACGAAAGGCTCCCAATCTCGATTTTAACCTCGTGTGCCTATGCCCTTCTTCCGTCTTTGCCTCCGGGAAATCGGGATATGCGTTGTCCCCGATACCACTCGTATACAGATAGTCCCCCTATTTTTCGGAGAGTAGGTTTGCCGGAACAATGGAAAACGAATAGACAAATCCCAGTTTCTTCCCTTGTACGCCATAACTGAGATGACGGGTAAATCGAAACATCCCGTCAATCGCGTCGTTCTGACTTCGAACACGTGTCGTCCATCGGCTAGCTTTCTTCGAATGTGAAACTTCACGTATTGATTGCATTTTCCCCTATAAAAGCTTCAACCCTCTTACTTCTTCCACTTTTTGTTTCTAGACTTTTCCTTTGAATATTCTAACCGTTTTTAAGTTCTTCAGATCTTCATACATTGTTCATTGAGCCGTCATATCTTCATCTTCATACATCCTCTTTGAACGATCATATTTCTTACACCCCATATTTTCATATGTGAAATTACGCCATCAGTAAATTGATAAAAGCTTGGAAATGAGATATTACATCCCGCATTTTCGTACGTTAAAGTTTCGTCATAAGTTAATAAACGTAAGTTCGAGAATGGTATTACTTTGGTATTATATGTATTACGCTATTTCAAACAAGTGATAAGTAAATTCGTGAAGGTGAGAGGGTAAGCAAATCGAAGAAAATGAGTTTCGTCGAAGTTTAGCAATTTAGGAATAAAATACGGTCCAAGCTATAATACCCCGTATTTATGGACTAGTGCCATACAAGATACCACATGACCATGATAATAAGGTATAAAAGGTGTGATAAAATGAGTAGTATTTTAAATAATTTGAAATAATTCTTAATTATATGGGTAAATGGTTAATTATTGTTTAAGTGGATAAGTGTAAAAGTTAATTTATCCATGTGGGACCAAGACAATTAAAGTAAAGTATGACTAATGTGTACGAAGGAGGTGGTGTCACATTTTGGGCATTAAAGTGTATTTTGGTGCAAGATATACGGATATATGCACCAAACTTATCACATTTTTGTAAAAGAAAGTTAATGAAGAAGGAAAAAGATGGAACAACATTCATGGACTCCTTTCTTGTAGTAAGCAACATTCGATTCATAATTAGTAATATTGTTAATGAGTTTTAAAGTGGGATGCTAAAATTTTCTAAGATATGGATGAAGCTACAACAAATTCATACGAGACTTCATAAGGTAGTAGCAACGGGAATTTCGATTCTAAGAGAACACGGTATAATCTTTCTCAAGAATATCATACAGATTTTTTCTACTTCGATTCGCCGTTACGTGAATTGCGCCAATTGATGTGTGTTAGAGGGATTGTCAAGAGAATCGGCTCAGGTATGTTAAGGCTATCCTTTCTTTCTTTTTAGCATGATCCACACGATACAAATGAAACGAGCAAATGCACAACTTCCATAAATGACTTTATTCATAGAAGTATTAGAGGTGCCTATATTCTTGAATCTCCACGTGTCTTATTATTACATCATCTGTTCGTAGGTCTTAGGAAAAAATACGTAAATTGAAAAAGTTTACTTCATGATATTACTCAAAGGTCTAATGGTATGACATTCCAAGAGATTTTATTGACATACTTCTCATGCATTACATTCATTTATACATATACATTGACCCATTACCAGACAACGTTATATACGCGTATGTATATATATGTATATGGGATATGGGAAAAGGCTACGACGTTATATACGAACCACCACCTGATCAGCTGGTATACATTGATGATTTGCCCACAGTGGCCGTGATGATATGCGGGATACCCTCAGAGGCTTGATGATGTTATATACGCATATACCCATGCATCATATGACATTTGTACGTATATGCACGACATTACAAATATTAAATAATTCGTAGAGCTATTCAGATTTGCATGATGAGTCTTTTACTCCATGTTTTTTTCATGTCTATTACTTACTGATTTTGATTCCTTACATACTCGGTACAATATTTGTATTGATGTCCCTTTTGCCTGGGGATGCTGTGTTTCATGCCCACAGGTCCCGATAGACAGGTTGAGAGTCCTCCAAGTAGGCTATCAGCTCAGCGAAAGATGTTGGTGCGCTCCATTTGCTCCGGAGTTGCTTGTTTAGTCAGTATGATTTAGACGTGTATTGTTAGGTATGGCGGGGCCCTGTCCCGAACTTTATGATAAGTATGTACTCTTAGAGGCTTGTAGACAAATCTCTCGATTCACCCTCGACCATCTACCCCGTCAGTACTGTCCCTGAATTTTCCAAGGGGGACTGATCAAGCTCGTTCGCCGAGCAAGCAAGGCCCCCTTTCCAAGCATCGACGAGGATCAAGACCGAGGCTAGCAGGGGAGGTTTGTTCTGATGAAAACTGAAGACCTAATCCCTCTCGAATTCCTTCCATTCCCCGAGAAGTGGAACATATCTCATAAGTGTCGTCTTCCTTAAGTATTAACTTTTTTTCATTCTTTCTCTTATTGCCCAAGTTCCTGATGCGATCCCCCAATTCAAGGAGTAGATTGAAGGGATTTGTAAGCGGATGCCATACTCCCAGTGCACCTGGCGCAAATTTTCGAAGGGCAAATGGGAGGCCCGTTCTCGTGATGAGGTTCCTCCCTGTATAATTTTCACTGCTTCCCCAACTTACACAATGCTAACATTTTCTCTTCTTTTATAGGTCTGCCTAAGACCAGCGAACTTAGGCCGCTGAACGAGGACAAGGATACATCCTTACCCACCGAGCCCTCCATTTTGGGACAGCTAGGGACTGCTGCAAAGAAGGAGAAGAAGAGGAAAATAAAGTTTCTAGGTTCTTCGAATCTTGAGGTGGAGAGGAAAATAAGGGCTGTCACCTGAGTCCGGAAGCCCAAGAAGAATACCAAGTCTAGGATACTAGACCTTGACTTCGTCTACCAGCTCAGGGATGAGCACGAAGAAGATGACATCTTCGTTACCCATGGATCGACCCCTACTAGGGAGCAAGCGACGACAAAGAAAGGGGGTCACGAGGCTGGTCCTTTTCCGACTCGGGAGGCTGGGGGGGGGAGATGGAGGTTGCGACATCCCAAGAAGCCATTCCTGTTCTGAAGGAGGTGGGCGGTGTGATTTACATCATCGAAATACCCTCCTATACCGAGTCCATGCTCGAAGAGGCCCAAGCAGGCAAAGAAAAGTCTAGTGAGGGAGTATGGGGTTCAGATGATCCCTTCAACTCCTTTTTCGGCGGTATAGACATGTCCATATTAGAGGATTTTTTTGGGCCGGGTCACCCAAAGATCCCTAAGAAGGACGTGCCCTCGGAAGCTGGCGGGCTGAGTTTGAGCCCAAGATTGGTGAAGCAATTTCCCGTGCCGAGAACGGACCCTGAACGCAAGAGAACAGTTGTTCCCATAGTCTTGGAGGATGCACGGGTCCTATCTTCTCTGGTGGGCGTAGACAGCTAACTCCGATGCTTGGTGACTGAGGAGGACCAAGTAAAGATAAACAAGGTGGGAACATCAAGTCTCTTCAACGAGGCGTAGCAGGTGCTGAACTGGGTAAGGCGCTAACACTTTCATATCCCTTTATGTATCCCACTTAAGTTTTTCTTTGATGTCTCTTACTAATTTCACCGTTTTACAGGCTTCAGTGCTTCATCATGAAAGCTTCCTCCGGTACTGCTTGGAAATCAGCAAGCTCGAGTTCGAGCTTAAAGAGTAGGTCTGGAAGAAGGACATGTACAGGGCTCTTAGTGAGAAACAAAATGAGGCCCTTAAAGACCTCCTAATTCTCCAGGCCGAACTGGTAAAAGGTCAGAAGGAAGCCTCAACCCTGAAGCGAGAACACGCCGACCTGGTTAAGAAGGTAAAGGTCTTTGAAGCTAAAAACGAGCAGCTAGTCATGGTGACTAACAACACAAATTTGCAAGTCCAATAGAAGATAGACCTGATCGACTAGCTGCGGACTGAGATAGACGAGGTCTAGCTTAGACCGAAGTGTGGAAGGGCAGGATAGACTGGTTGACCTCGGAGAAGGAAGCAGTGAGGCGGAGTTGGCATCAGTCGAGAACCAACTTTGGGTGATGAAGGACAAAGCTGATAAATG